TTCTTCCCTGCCAGCACCACGACAGGGGTCCGGGATAGCTGGTCGTTCAGCAGATCAATGATTCTCCTGCTCCCTGTCAGCCGCTGGCCGGCCGGCTGGCTTCCTTGCCTCCCAGGGATGCACTGCGGCAGGGCACGTGTCCTGGTCGTGCCTCCTCGTCTCCCAGAAACCAGGCTCACTGTTCCAGCCTCTCACCGCTGCTCTCCAGCTCCCAGGCTCTCCCTCCCGCGGGCCGTCGCTCATCTGAGGGAGCCCACCAGGCCGAGGTAAGTCTCAGCCTTCTGGAGCTCCATGCATCTAGGGGGGTTTGGGGCAAAGGGGGGGGGGTCGGACAGAGGAGCCTCGTGCAAGAGCTCCTACCATGAACTCCCCGCCGCCATTGTCAGGCTCCGCCCCCTTGATTTTTCTTCTTTTAACAGGTACTCTTAGATCATTTCCTGTAACAGAAATGCAGTATCATTATTCTGGCACTGATAATTTTACATTGATTAATCCTCTTACATTTATCTGTTAATATTACATATCACAAACATTTCTAGTCATGACATGGAAGACATATTTTTATTATAACATTTCTTACTGACTTGTGTTCTGTTTTTCCTAAAATGGCCTATATTCTTTTACAAATGATCTGTGAATTTAAATATAACAGGGCACTACATCTCCTTTATTGGTCATGATTAGAGATGAGCGAATTATTCAAAAATTCGATTCGACTGATTCGGCGAATTCGTGAAAAAATTTTGATTCGAGTCGAATATATTCGCTGCGAATTTAACTTCTAAAAGGGTGTTTCTAGGCTTCAGAGAGCCTTTATATTAGTGCAGAACACTGTACCTTTAATTTAAATGCCCTTGGAGTCTGCTGGGGAAGAGAAATAATAATACTGTCAGTCAGTATGACATGCAGATGAGTGCCGTCGATCTTAGAATCACCACACACTTCACTCATTTGGGCAGTCACGGGGCCAAAACCAGAGTGTGGAGCCACAGTGTGGCGGTGGAGGCAGCAGCAATGGGAGGCCATACAGCACCCTATGACAAAATGGAACCCACCAGCAGTGTGAGGAGACCTGAAAGTGGCACATGGCAGAGTGGGGCGATGGAGACAGCAGCAATGGGAGGCCGTACAGGGACCCATGACACACTCTGGACCTGGCAGCAGCATGAGGAGGCGGTACAGGGGCCCATGACAGATTACGGGCCTGGCAGCAGCATGAGGAGTTGGTACGGGGTCCATGGCAGATTAAGGGCCTGGCAGCAGCAATGGGAGGCCGTACAGGGACCCATGACACACTCTGGACCTGGCAGCAGCATGAGGAGGCGGAACAGGGGCCCATGACAGATTACGGGCCTGGCAGCAGCATGAGGAGTCGGTACGGGGGGCCCATGACAAACTCTGGAACTGGCAGCAGCATGAGGAGGCGGTACAGGGGCGCATGACAGATTACGAGCCTGGCAGCAGCAACTTGGACAGGAGGACGTTCAGCTTCTGCACCGTCGGGTGTGTGCTCGCAAAACTGTTGTCTCTTGGAAACGGATTCCAAGCCTCAGTAACAATTCTGTGTCTGTCCTGAGTAACAATTCTGTGGCCCTAAGTAACGGTTCTGTGGCCCTCAGTAACAATTCTGTGGCCCTCAGTAACAATTCTGTGTCTGTCCCTGAGTAACAATTCTCTGGCCCTAAGTAACGGTTCTGTGGCCCTCAGTAACAATTCTGTGTCCCTGAGTAACGTTTCTGTGGCCCTAAGTAACGGTTCTGTGGCCCTCAGTAAACAATTCTGTGTCCCTCAGTAACAATTCTGTGTCTGTCCCTGAGTAACAATTCTGTGGCCCTAAGTAACGGTTCTGTGGCCCTCAGTAACAATTCTGTGTCCCTGAGTAACAATTCTGTGGCCTTAAGTAACGGTTCTGTGGCCCTCAGTAAACAATTCTGTGTCCCTCAGTAACAATTCTGTGTCTGTCCCTGAGTAACAATTCTGTGGCCCTAAGTAACAGTTCTGTGGCCCTCAGTAACAATTCTGTGTCCCTGAGTAACGTTTCTGTGGCCCTAAGTAACGGTTTCTGTGGCCCTCCAGTAACAATTCTGTGGCCCTCAGTAAATAACAATTCTGTGTCTGTCCCTGAGTAACAATTCTGTGGCCCTCAGTAACAATTTTCTGTGTCCCTGAGTAAAGTTTCTGTGGCCCTAAGTAACGGTTCTGTGGCCCTCAGTAACAATTCTGTGGCCCTCAGTAACAATTCTGTGTCTGTCCCTGAGTAACAATTCTGTGGCCCTAACTAACATTTCTGTGGCCCTAAGTAACAGTTCTGTGGCCCTCAGTAACAATTCTGTGTCCCTGAGTAATGTTTCTGTGGCCCTAAGTAACGGTTTCTGTGGCCCTCAGTAACAATTCTGTGGCCCTCAGTAACAATTCTGTGTCTGTCCCTGAGTAACAATTCTGTGGCCCTAAGTAACGGTTCTGTGGCCCTCAGTAACAATTCTGTGTCCCTGAGTAACGTTTCTGTGGCCCAGAAAGTAACGGTTCTGTGGCCCAGTAACAATTCTGTGGTCCCTCAGTAAAAAATTCTGTGGTCTGTCCCTGAGTAACAATTCTGTGGCCCTAAGTAACAGTTCTGTGGCCCTCAGTAACAATTCTGTGTCCCTGAGTAACGTTTCTGTGGCCCTAAGTAACGGTTCTGTGGCCCTCAGTAACAATTCTGTGTCCCTCAGTAACAATTCTGTGTCTGTCCCTGAGTAACAATTCTGTGGCCCTAAGTAACAGTTCTGTGGCCCTCAGTAACAATTCTGTGTCCCTGAGTAACGTTTCTGTGGCCCTAAGTAACGGTTCTGTGGCCCTCAGTAACAATTCTGTGGCCCTCAGTAACAATTCTGTGGCCTAGTCAGTAACAATTCTGTGTCTGTGTCCCTGAGTAACAATTCTGTGGCCCTAAGTAACGGTTCTGTGGCCCTCAGTAACAATTCTGTGGCCCTCAGTAACAATTCTGTGTCTGTCCCTGAGTAACAATTCTGTGGCCCTAAGTAACGGTTCTGTGGCCCTCAGTAACAATTCTGTGTCCCTGAGTAACGTTTCTGTGGCCCTAAGTAACGGTTCTGTGGCCCTCAGTAACAATTCTGTGTGGCCCTCAGTAACAATTCTGTGTCTGTCCCTGAGTAACAATTCTGTGGCCCTAAGTAACGGTTCTGTGGCCCTCAGTAACAATTCTGTGTCCCTGAGTAACAATTCTGTGGCCCTAAGTAACGGTTCTGTGGCCCTCAGTAACAATTCTGTGTCCCTCAGTAACAATTCTGTGTCTGTCCCTCAGTAACAATTCTGTGGCCCTAAGTAACAGTTCTGTGGCCCTCAGTAACAATTCTGTGTCCCTGAGTAATGTTTCTGTGGCCCTAAGTAACGGTTCTGTGGCCCTCAGTAACAATTCTGTGGCCCTCTGTAACAATTCTGTGTGGCCCTCAGTAACAATTCTGTGTCTGTCCCTGAGTAACAATTCTGTGGCCCTAACTAACGTTTCTGTGGCCCTAAGTAACAGTTCTGTGGCCCTCAGTAACAATTCTGTGTCTGTCCCTGAGTAACAATTCTGTGGCCCTAAGTAACGGTTCTGTGGCCCTCAGTAACAATTCTGTGTCCCTGAGTAACGTTTCTGTGGCCCTAAGTAACGGTTCTGTGGCCCTCAGTAACAATTCTGTGGCCCTCAGTAACAATTCTGTGTCTGTCCCTGAGTAACAATTCTGTGGCCCTAAGTAACGGTTCTGTGGCCCTCAGTAACAATTCTGTGTCCCTGAGTAACGTTTCTGTGGCCCTAAGTAACGGTTCTGTGGCCCTCAGTAACAATTCTGTGTCCCTCAGTAACAATTCTGTGGCCTGTCCCTGAGTAACAATTCTGTGGCCCTAAGTAACAGTTCTAAAGTTCTGTGGCCCTCAGTAACAATTCTGTGTCCCTGAGTAACGTTTCTGTGGCCCTAAGTAACGGTTCTGTGGCCCTCAGTAACAATTCTGTGGCCCTCAGTAACAATTCTGTGGCCCTCAGTAACTGTTCTGTGTCTGTCCCCTGAGTAACAATTCTGTGGCCCTAAGTAACGGTTCTGTGGCCCTCAGTAACAATTCTGTGGCCCTCAGTAACAATTCTGTGTCTGTCCCTGAGTAGTAAATTCTGTGGCCCTAAGTAACGGTTCTGTGGCCCTCAGTAACAATTCTGTGTCCCTGAGTAACGTTTCTGTGGCCCTAAGTAACGGTTCTGTGGCCCTCAGTAACTCAGTAACAATTCTGTGGCCCTCAGTAACAATTCTGTGTCTGTCCCTGAGTAACAATTCTGTGGCCCTAAGTAACGGTTCTGTGGCCCTCAGTAACAATTCAGTAACAATTGTGTCCCTGAGTAACAATTCTGTGCCCCTAAGTAACGGTTCTGTGGCCCTCAGTAACAATTCTGTGTCCCTCAGTAACAATTCTGTGTCTGTCCCTAAGTAACAATTCTGTGGCCCTAAGTAACAGTTCTGTGGCCCTCAGTAACAATTCTGTGGCCCTCAGTAACAATTCTGTGTCTGTCCCTGAGTAACAATTTGTGTGGCCCTAACTAACGTTTCTGTGGCCCTAAGTAACAGTTCTGTGGCCCTCAGTAACAATTCTGTGTCCCTGAGTAACGTTTCTGTGGCCCTAAGTAACGGTTCTGTGGCCCTCAGTAACAATTCTGTGTGGCCCTCAGTAACAATTCTGTGTCTGTCCCTGAGTAACAATTCTGTGGCCCTAAGTAACGGTTCTGTGTGGCCCTCAGTAACAATTCTGTGTCCCTGAGTAACGTTTCTGTGGCCCTAAGTAACGGTTCTGTGGCCCTCAGTAACAATTCTGTGTCCCTCAGTAACAATTCTGTGTCTGTCCCTGAGTAACAATTCTGTGGCCCTAAGTAACAGTTCTGTGGCCCTAACTCAGTAACAATTCTGTGTCCCTGAGTAACGTTTCTGTGGCCCTAAGTAACGGTTCTGTGGCCCTCAGTAACAATTCTGTGGCCCTCAGTAACAATTCTGTCCCTCAGTAACAATTCTGTGGTCCCTGAGTAACAATTCTGTGGTCCTAAGTAACGGTTCTGTGCCCTCAGTAACAATTCTGTGGCCCTCAGTAACAATTCTGTGTGTCTGTCCCTGAGTAACAATTCTGTGGCCCTAAGTAAACGGTTCTGTGGCCCTCAGTAACAATTCTGTGTCCCTGAGTAACAATTCTGTGGCCCTAAGTAACGGTTCTGTGGCCCTCAGTAACAATTCTGTGTCCCTCAGTAACAATTCTGTGTCTGTCCCTCAGTAACAATTCTGTGGCCCTAAGTAACAGTTCTGTGGCCCTCAGTAACAATTCTGTGTCCCTGAGTAATGTTTCTGTGGCCCTAAGTAACGGTTCTGTGGCCCTCAGTAACAATTCTGTGGCCCTCAGTAACAATTCTGTGGCCCTCAGTAACAATTCTGTGTCTGTCCCTGAGTAACAATTCTGTGGCCCTTAAACGTTTCTGTGGCCCTAAGTAAGTAACAATTCTGTGGCCCTCAGTAACAATTCTGTGTCCTGAGTAACGTTTCTGTGGCCCTAAGTAACGGTTTCTGTGGCCCTCAGTAACAATTCTGTGGCCCTCAGTAACAATTCTGTGTCTGTCCCTGAGTAACAATTCTGTGGCCCTAAGTAACGGTTCTGTGGCCCTCAGTAACAATTCTGTGTCCCTGAGTAACGTTTCTGTGGCCCTAAGTAACGGTTCTATGGCCCTCAGTAACAATTCTGTGGCCCTCAGTAACAATTCTGTGTCTGTCCCTGAGTAACAATTCTGTGGCCCTAAGTAACGGTTCTGTGGCCCTCAGTAACAATTCTGTGTGTCCCCTGAGTAACGTTTCTGTGGCCCTAAGTAACGGTTCTGTGGCCCTCAGTAACACGTGTCCTGTGGCCCTCAGTAACAATTCTGTGGCCCTCAGTAACAATTCTGTGTCTGTCCCTGAGTAACAATTCTGTGGCCCTAAGTAACGGTTCTGTGGCCCTCAGTAACAATTCTGTGGCCCTCAGTAACAAATTCTGTGTCTGTCCCTGAGTAACAATTCTGTGGCCCTAAGT